AGACGTTCTAGAATCTGTCGTTTCGTCCATGAATGCCACGACCAACAGCGCCACCGGTGTCTCCCCGCACTATGCCATTACCGGTCGTCACCCCAACATCGGCCTACCTACACTACACAGAAAAGAAATCACAAGCGACGATCCCGGAGCATATGGAATGCAAATTAATGCCCTGCTAAAGCAGGTTCACCACCATGTCACCCTGGCCAACGATGAAGCTGACCACAAACTTGAGACTAACTTAAATCGCCTCACAAGGTTTTACTTCATCGACCACACTCAACTGTTGCCCAATCCTCTCATCTGCCCTGGATAGGAAATTACACCATTATAAAAACGAACAATATGATGTGTCAGGTGCAAAACGATGATGGTGATACAATCTGGATTCACCGTGCACATATCCGACGACTGGCTCCACGCCCAACACATCTTTCTAATACAATCCCTCTGCCTCCACCATGTAACAGTCACCAGGATCATTCTCCTCCACATCCCTCGGGGACACATAATTCAGCAAATAACCCCATACCAAAACAGATGCCAATAAGAAGAACACGAGGACAACTTCCCACACGCTTCAGAGACTTTATCATGAATTAATCACCCAAATATACACGAATAACGCTCACTGTAAATGAGACCGAGATCTGGGGGAGCCTTGTTATAAAATAAAATAAGTCATATCTCGGCTGATTTACTCAAGAGCGAGAACCGGATGTGAACAGGACAAAGCCCCGTCACAAAATGACCATTATCCTTCTTTACAAATGTTGCCGACACACATGTTCCGGTTGAAAAATAAAATAATATTTAAAGTGCTCTATTTTTCGTCCAATAAAATGCTTCCTCCTAATTATACTCGCTTCGTTTTTCGAGCCTGTTAAGCCATAAAAAACGCTATAAAAGGGGGCCGGAAAAAAAACAGCTATAAAGGGGGACCACAGGAAGTTCAATCAGCGTCAACCACCGTCAACATGTGTGAACTACTATGAGAGATCGACCAGATCCGAAAGCCGGCTTATGAACTTTACCACAAGGTAGCTGTCCCAAACCCTCACATTCCTGTTGAAATAAACCACGTAAATCTATTTCTACTGTTGTCGTATTTCTTTCTTGCAACCATACGCTTGTCTATAACAAATGGTTCATGAATCGGATTAGCTAAAAGCATATGATATTATTAAGTGACGACCAGCCTCAACCCCATTCTCCGCTTTTCGGCCTTGTGCCACAATTGTGTATTTTACGCAATAAATTTTGAGACCTTTGTTTTTATGATTTCTATATAAATATTTGTTGTTGTATTACATAATTGTTATTGTCACTATATTGCCGTATTAGCCTTCCTTGTGCCATACGACTAAAATTTTAAAATGTTTTTGGAGAAGTGAAATTTTGTACACGCAGCCAACCTCATATGACTAAACAGCCTTCTGATTAATTTTTTAAACCAGTTTAAGGACCTTGAAATCGAAACTTCAAAAATGTGGCACATGGGAACATAAACAATATCTGTTGTAGATGAAGCCCCCGGGTTTGTTAGAAAAGATGACACTAGACACATTGAAGGGATTCCTGGAAGCCTATGCTTTAAGGCGGTAAATTTTCATTGTAACTCCCGAGCGCTAATATCCCTTCAATTTTTTCCAAAATGGTCTTATTTCAGTGCAAATGTATATGCTTAACTCAAATCAACAATTAGATATTGGTATGTTCATGAGATCGATAAAAAAAAAATAGCATACCATGAATAAAAAAGGCCTTAAATTTGATTAAAATATTTTTTATCGTATATGTTAATGTTATTATCAAGAGGAATGATCAAAGTATTTTTTGAATATTTTTTAAATTTTTTAATAATTTCTAGCACGTCCAAAATTTTCGTTAAAAACCTCAAATTTTTTTGAATCGGAAAAATCGACAGAAGATCGATAATCTCCCGTTTTTGACGTTTGTTTACAAAAGTGAATGTTGCGTTTAAAATTTACTTAAAAAATCAATTATGATTTTTTTTTAACTAATTTTTGAAAAATTAGAAATTAAAGTTTATTTAGTATATTTTGAAACAAAGATTGCTTATTTTCTGTGATGAAAACATGTTTTTTCAAATGGGAGAAAGCCGGTCTGAACTGCGGTGTTGATTGACAAATGACATGTGCGTGTTTTTCATCACGCACTGACATACGTACAGAAATTTATAGTACGAAAGGTCATAAGTGACAATTTATGTTTACGTTAACTTATTTACCTCGTTTTAAGTAGTCATAGCATGAAAAAACGGCCTTAAACTTGACGAAATCAAAATTTTATTACCAAAATGTTTATGTTACTATTAAGGGGAAAGAACAAAGTAATTTTTCATTATTTTTAAAAAAAATTCTGTCTTTATTAGAATGTTTTAACTTTTGATTGAAAAATCTTGTTTCTCGTCATCACCGTAACTTTATGGCAAATTTTTTGTTCATTTTTTTCTTATGACACACATTAATTTTGAAAATCTTGCAAAAATAGAAATAATTGTCAGATTTTAATGAAACTTTCAGGTATGATGGAAATTATTATAATTTTTTTAAAGTAATTTTATATAAGTGTAAAGGCCGTTAACAGTGCCGTACAAATCAAGTCACGTGATGTTTTTATTGGATTAATATTCCGGGCCTCCGTACATTTGATTTAAGATTTTTTTTTTCTACACATAGGGTAAAGAAAGGACAGTAAGATTATTCTCATTGCTGGTTCGTTGATTGTAAAAACCTTGTACTATTTATAATCTGTACAGATACAGGTACCTAAAAAAAAAAACATTATATACAGGATTCGCCAGTACCGCTAATTTTAGAATATTTAACAACTTTTAGTAACTTTATGTAAAAATAATGAAATAATTTATTAAATAACAATTAATTCATTTAAAAATTCATTTTTCATCGAAAAGTTTTTTTTGCCTTCAGACGATATTATGCATATTGATAAAAAAACAAATAAAAGCAACTAAAAAAGCATTTAAAATTAAATAGTATCTTTGTTTTATTGGGTTTTTTTGTATGTTACAATTCAGAGCTGATTTTAGGTTTAACGAGGTCGGATTTTTAAAAAAAGAAAACCTGATTTACTTTCCTCAAAGCCTTGTGTTTTTAACTAAAAATGACTTGCGTGCTTCGTCCATAAACTTTTACAGTTTTCTTTAATTCATTTATGGGGGTGGTAATATATGTATAAAAAATATATTCTTATAATGACTTTAAAAAAAAAATATTTATAATAATTTCCATCATTCCTGAATAGTTTCTGAAAGTTTCATTAAAATCTGACAATTATTTCTATTTTTGCAAGATTTTCAAAATTAATGTGTGTCATAAGAAAAAAAAATGCACAAAAAATTCGCTATGTTATTTTTACGGAATCCTACTTTTTCTCGCTCTTTTTCTCATCCCTTACCGGCTTATTGAGAGACATTCGCTGCTGAACCATTTCGCGCACTTATACAATTTTGGCCTATTTACTCCCTTAAAGAAATTAGTACGCGCGTTTTTCTTTTTAATTTAAAGTTAACTTTCTCCGTAAAGCGATTTTCTTCTTTTTTTTTTTTAATTTTTTATTTGTACTTAATTTAAGAATGTTAACTTTCAAATATGAGTGATAATTGTAGTTTCTACTTAATTTTTTATAATATGAAAATGTCGACAAATAATGGACAACAAAGTAATTTTTTTAAAGAAGAAAGTTAACTTTATGAAAATAATTGATAATTGTGTAGTTTTTACTTAATTTTCTAAGAAGAATAACTTTCAAATATATGAAAATATCGACAAATAAAAGAATAACAAAGTAATTTTCAAATGTATGAAAATAAGTAATAAAGTGTAGTTACTTAATTTAAGAAGTAGTAGTACAACAACAACAACCATAATAATAATAATAATAATAATAACAACAACAAAAATAATAACAATCCGAAAAGTTAAATTATTATTATTATTATTACGGGCTACCATACTTAGAAACAAAAGTCCTTTATTTAGCCAACAGTTATCAGCTCCAATTTAATGTCGCTGTTGTACGGTGTTTGTTAATGTCTGACTGCTCGAGTCATCGAATCTAATAAAATTTTTAAAGTTCGGTCATTTTTTGGTGTAAAATCGAATAAATATTAAAATTAACTATTTCCCATGAGATAATCTTGCTTGGTGTTTTGATGATTATTTGTAAGTGATTCTTATTTTTCTGCTTTTACTTACAATATCTGATCTGTTCAGTTCAGACAGTAGTGTTTTTTAAGGGAAGATTTTGAATTCGTAACCTAATTTGTTTTAAATGGTTTTTTTTCTATGCAACAGGAGAATTTTAGCTCTTATATTTACCGTGAAAGTAAAAAAAAAAAAAAATTTAAATGTAAGAACTCACTTTTTAAATTTTTCATTTTCGATAAGATGTAAGATTTTCTTTGGAAATAAACATGTTTTTTTTTTCTCATGTTAATAATTAAATTGTGACAAGTAACGTACAGTAGGAAGTGTTTGCTTACAGTTGGGTACACATCAGTGTTCCCAAGCGCCCCCGCCCCCCTCCCACCATCAAAGTACCGACCGATTTGTGTGTCGTGTCCCTTCATAATGTTGGGGGAGCATTTATGAAGGGAATTAAAAAAAAAATCAGATCTGTATTTGTTGCTGTAACGGAGGCGGGGGAGATCAATTATGAATTTATATTGGACCCTGCCTTAATATTTACAAGTTTTGTTTTATTATTTTTTGATATTCGATTCCTTCAGCTTAATTATAGTAAGTAAAACTAAAATAAGGAAAAAATTTGAAAAAAAAAAAAAAAATGATTTCTGGTTTCAGTGCTTAATTACAACTTCAAATTTTGTTTCATGTCGACCGTCGCGACGTATCAACTTTTTAAAAAAAATTATTTGTCATTTATACGCCAACAATTTTAAGAATAAAAATAATGATAAAAACAAAAAACGAAAGCAAACGAAACAAAATACATACCTTTTTTTCCTGTTGTTTTTTCAGGCAAAGAAAGCTGGTAAAAAAACAAAAAAAACAAGAAAAAACCAGGTCAACGCGTTTTTTCCAAAACCTTCCACATTGAAAGAAAGTTTCATTTTCATTCTCTCTGACCAAGCCCCGCCCCTGTCTTTGACGTTTCCTCGTCGTGGCATTTTTAAGAGTAGATTTCCGAAAAAAATGAAATGCACACATAGCAAGAAAAGACTTTTTGTGTCGAAAATGATCTCGAATGATCTTTTGTGACGAACAGTAATTGGATGCATTTCAAAATCACTGAATAAGGTATTTTTTCTTAAATAAAAGTGAAATTTTTTTCTGTCAAATTTGAAAGAAAATAACTATGCAAGCACCAATTCTTTCCTTAAAAAAAAAACACACATTTGGAAATTCTTGCAAAAATCGGATAATTGTTCTACTACCTTAGTGAAATTTTTAGAACTTATTCAGAAATGAATTAAATTATTTTTGAAACTTTCTTTTATAGATACTTTTTGTAACGATATATTTTATGTCTGTTACCTCCCCTTATGCATTTAATGTTTATGAAATTTCAAGAAATTATTTTTTTGTATTGCTTAATGTTTAAATGTTAATATCTGTTATATAAGAACCAGTCCTTGGTGAATTTAACTTAGCAATTTTCTTTTTCAAACAGGCCCCACTGTTACAGAATATTTTATTTCAAGCATAAAATTAAAAAATGGAATAAAAGTAAAACTTTTCAAGAACTCTTCCTCATTTACGTGTCCTAGAAATGTCAATTGTCTAAGAATTGCCTCCCCTTGTATGTATAATTTTTTTTTTAAGCGTTTCACCCCAAGCAAGGCGGGAAGCCACTAGGACGCAAGGGGGTTACAGAAGATTTGGAGGAAGATCAGATAGGAGTGATAAAGGAAAGAATGAGTAGAAGGATAGTGGATAGATCAAGGCAACTGGAGATGTTGATTGACATTACATTTGAATAGTTGGAGATTATAGCTCTCAGGGAAACTGGGGAGTTCCATAGGTGAGAGGTCCGAGACATGAAGCTATTGGAGTAAAAGAGACGGCTACATTTAGTAGTTTCGACAGTGAAAGGGTGAGAGTGGGACGCCAGCCTCGTAGGGCACTTGAATTCATGAAGTCTGGGAACTAGCAAATGCAGCTCCTTGGAGCAATTACCATGAAAGTATTTGTAAAAAAGACAGAGAGTGAGGCCACTGAGCGCCTGTGAGAGTGTGATTGTAGATGAGATGCCAGAACAGGGCCAATTATATTGCATATCCGCCTCTGGAGCTTATCAAGAACCCTGAGGCAAACAGAAGGGACTCCAGACCATATATGGCAGTAATACTCCATGCAAGGGCGAATTGTTGATTTGTAGAAGGAACGATTTCGGGGAGAAAAATTTCCTGGCGCGGCACAGGGGGCCAACTTTCCTTGCGGTGGACAAAGTAATTGACTCAATGTATTTGTTCCATCTCAGGTCAGCAGTCAACGTGAGACCGAGCAGCTGCAGAGAGGTGCTCTCGAGAAGTTGAGCGTCAGACATTCTAATGGAGGGCAGGGAAGGATCTCTGTGGTGATTAATAGAAAGCAGTTTTGCTTTTGAAGCATTAAAGTTGACCAGCCAATTCCTGCCCCAATTCACAATCGATTGGAGGTCCTTTTCGAGACGCACGACCAGGTTAGTTTTGTCAGCGACACTAGATTTGTTTTTGAGGCAGGAGTAAATTGTGGTGTCATCCGCGTCGATGGCAACTTGGGAATTTATGGCGTCAGGAAGGTCATTTATGTATGGCAATGATGTCCATGCAGTAGTGTTTAAAGTGAGTTGACCGCCAACACTTCTAAACATGTGCTTGAGCCTATAACTTGACTAAAAAACAAATAAATTCAATGCATGAGCAAACCTTGTCAGTGAGCATTTTCGCATGACTAGCAATTGCCAAACTAATCCACGACATTTGTACCATTGAAATGCAAAGTTAGAATTTCAATTTCTTCAACACGAAAACAACTTCATGGTAATTCAAGTCAAAATATTCAACTTAATCACTCATTCACCAACTTTTTCTGGATTCATTTATTACCTACTGAAAACTTCTCAATCACAGCACTGATTTTTGACTGAATCTACAGAACATTCTTACACCTGATTTATTGTTCATCAAGTTTAATTCTTGACTGAAGAGCAAACTACATTCCAGAAGTCTTGTAAAATATTTCTTATGCAATCTTTGACACATACAAACATACAGTCAAGGGCAGATAAATTTTGTTACTACACTCTTACATTAAAAATTTCATTTCAGAAACTGTTTTACAAACTGTTTAAAATTCAATTTAAACATGTTTATCTAATAACAAATTCTATTGAAATTTCATATAAAACAAAATATTTAATTCAGTGAACTCAACCTCACATGACACTGAACATTATAAGAGTTTAAAAAGCAAATTTAAAATTGATGAACCAAATCTCTCATTCCCTAAAATTCAACTAACACATATTTATTGTGTATTTTATGTTATATACAATATTCTTATTGTTCTTGTTATCAGAGATTTGTTGTTGTCCTATTTATGTTTTATCAAAATTGTAGAACGAAGAAGTTTAAAATGTGTGTAGAAATAGCTAATTCAGCATCATCTTCACACTCACTTTTCTAATATTTATGACCCGACAAAAGAGTTCATTAGCACATCTCCACCACACTGTCTTGTCATTTTGTGAGATGCTTTCCACTTCCAGGAACAAATTTGGTGTGCTGCTGCTATCAATGATCTTTGCCTTCATCCACTCATGAAAAATATTTTGTTTGTATTGTCTCTAAAACTTTTTTGTTTCCTGTTTGGTCCATTGTATTGCTAGCATCCTTCTGTAGAATTAGATTTCATACTGTGTCTAGCATTGTCTTTAAGATGTTGTTGTTTCGTGTACAGTCAATGGTATTCCAAGCATCCTTTTGTAGAATCAGATTTCTGTTGCCTCAATTCTCTTCTTCATCTTTGATGAGTTGTCCACAGTCTGGCCTGGTGTGCATTCTAATAAGTAAATTTTGTTATGACTTTTACAGTAATAGTTGTGGTAGATTTTTAAAGCAGACTTAATGACTGAGTTGGCAAACCAATTGGTGTTTCGAATGTGGTTACAGCAGAAGCTCCTTTTGTTGTTACATTGTTGGCAAAATCCTGTTTTTATTTTTGGTCTATCACAGATTACTTTATCAGCTGAAATTTGGTTAATACCTATAATTTCCTTAAAGTTCTTAAGTCTACAATATACTAGAAAATAGGATCCCTCAAACAAAGTTTTTAGGTCTGGTTTGAGATGTAGTATTTCCCAGCAACTTTTGAATATCTGAGATAGTGAAGGAAGAGTAGTGTTGAAAGTATTTACTAGAAGGATGCATCTGGATTTATTTTTTAATTTTATACATTAGGGTGTTTTCTCTAGTTGTGCAAATTGTTTTATTTATTTGTTCCCTGATTAGGCGTTGTTTATAGCCATGTGTTTGGAATTGATGCTCGAGGTTTTTAATGTGTTTACTTAGTTCTTCATCGTTAGCAAATAGGGAAGCTTCTCCATGAAGTGTTTTGGGTGGGAAGACTTAAAGTGTCATCGAAAGTACGACTTGGAGTTTCATGTTCAATACAATCTTCAGGTACTTATAATGGTGAGAAATTGTTCATTACAATTGTTAGCATTTTCAAAAATTCTACATCTCGTTGAATGTTATATAATATATTAATTCTACATTTAAAAATTATATAATTAGAATCTAATATAGTATAGATCTGGATTGAATTTAGAAAATTATAGAAATAAAAATAAATATAAAAGTTTTTTTATGAATGCATGTGGTCATAAGTTCACTTTGTTCAGTAAATTGGCGTTATCAATGTGTTTATTAATGAGTTTTTCCAAGAGGCACAGGTTAATTTATCTCCCTTGCCATTAAAAGGCTTGGCTTTAGCTATGTAATTCCTAGTTATTAATTGGATGTAGTTATCCATCTTAATTTCCCAGAAATATTTAGAGATTGCAGTGTTGTTGGCATTATCTCTAAAACTTTGTACTTTTGTGCTTTGTCCATTTTATTCTTAGCATCCTTCTGTAGAATCAGAATGTTTTGCATCATTTTGTGTTGGTAATACTGGAATTTCCAGTGGCTTGTAATTTAAAAAAAAAATTATAACTTGAATCCACATCTGTACTTGAATATTGGATTCTAATTATGTAATTATTAAATGAAGACTTAATATATTATATAACATTGCTTCCACAAAATCCAAGAATTTAAAAAAATGCTAACAATCGTAATGAACAGTTCTTCAACATTTATAAGAACCTGAAGATTGTATTGAACATGAAACTCAGAGTCATACTTTATACATAAGGTTATATATATATATATATATATATATATATATATATGAATACAGGTTTGGTATAGATGGAATAAAATTCCAATAACTAAAATCACTATTTTAAAAAAAAGTGCTCAATACAAAGTAGAGCAAATAATATTTATTCAAAAATTATAACATAAGCACGTTATAACATCACTACAAAAATAGCCATTTTGTTTCAACACTTCGCACACTCACACATACATACATATATATATATATATATATATAATTCCTTTAATAATAATTTTAAAATAATTCAACAGATAGTGTTTGTTTTTCGCTTTACTAGGTTTTCTTCTATCAATAATGGGTAATTAGAAAAATGGCACCTTTATCACAGTCGCCCTCACTACTTTTGTTGTGTTTGTTCTTATCAGCTTAGTCTGATTCTTATTTTCCACTTGTAATTTTTCATTTTCTCACTGAAACCAAGTAGTGTCTTTGCCCCCCCCTCTTTCCATGTGATGAAAATAGAATCATCCGTTATTTATGAGGCATTGACAACATGTAACATCATGTGAATGGACAAAGATAGGAATGAGCACAATTATAATAAGGTTATAATGATAATAATACTATGTCACTTCATAGAAATGAATAGATCTTATGCCCGTAGTGCATCTTAAATTTCTTTCTTTTTTTGCTGATATTTGATTACCCACCCGCCCAACTATCTTGGGTCAATCTTGATCTGTCTTGTCTATTATTATTAATAATATAGTATTGTTTTTCATGGACCATGTCCATATTATATATATATGTATATATATACATATATATACACACACACACACACACACATACACAGTTTCTTATAACTTCATTCTTTCTTTCTCGCTATCTTTTTCTCTTTCCTTTCTTTTTCTTTCCCTCTTTCTTTCTTTCATTTTCTTTCTCTTTCTTTTTCTTTCTTTCTTTTTCTCTCTTTCTTTCTCTTCCAACTCACTAAATAAAGTAAGCAAGATTTATTTCAATATAACTACAATTATTTATTTATTTGATATGAATGTTAAATCAATTTGTCCAGTTTTTGGAAGTTGGCTAGAGCCAAGAACTTTGACGCAAGCTTCAGTATTGTAAAAGAAATTTCTCTTGGGAGCCCATACTTCATGGATGGCATTATAATCATTTCAGCCATAGAAACTTTTGTAATTAAACATCCATCCAGTTCCTCGGTTTTTACCTGTACCACTGTATATTGAACTAAAGAAAAAGATATAATTTTAGCTTGCGTGATGACATTTTCTGATTTAGTGTCTCTTTTCATATTTAAATGTTTCTTAGTCTTCTTCACTCTCACTGATATTCAGGGAAGACATTCTTTCTTCAAGATCAGAGTCTGAATTCATATTAGCAGTAAGACTCATCCGAAGTCGGTCCCAGTCACTTCCCTTTGTGAAACAGATTGGTGGAAAAACTTGAAGTTTGAATGGAATACTACAACTCTCGAGGATTATTGGAATGATTGTTTTGTTCATTTTTATTGACAGAAGAATCAGTAAATTACAGATGAAGTTCTGATGATTATCTTTAACATATGTTGGTGTTAGGACAATGAGAAGCTTACGAGAATTGTCTATTCCTTTGATGATATTATCATATTGCAAATCGCCAGGTATTAAATCACGGTCTGGAATGAAACCTGAAAAAAAGGAAAGCAGGATTTATATCTGATCCATATTGTTAGTGTTGCTTCTAAAATTACAATTGAGGATGCCAGTTTAATAATAAATCTTTGTAATAACATAAAACAATTGATTTGTTTTTTATGAATTATCAACCCTTTGTGAGCCATTTAAAGCTAAAACACATTGAGGATTATAAAGACAATATTTTGTGCAAATGAATATATTAAACATTTTTTTGAGAATAACAATGATTTTTCTAGATACAAGAACTTCTATTTAACCCATAGTGAGGAGGGAGACCAAGAGATAAATTTCCAGGTCATAATATCAAACAAAGAAATTAAAGAAAAAATGAAATAAATGGCAAAAGCAAAGAAATTTGTTTTTAATATCTACTAGTACACAGTAAACATTTAATGAGGGCCCTAGTGTGGAGCTAGGCAAAATGACTTTGGTCAAGTTGTTTCATTATTTATTAGTAGTGAGTTTGATCATTTCTTTGAGTTCAATGCAACATTCGTAATTAAATATTTCAAAAGGGTTGATATGGTAAAGGGATCACCCTAAAGTCACATAGACAACAAATCATCTTGTGATGCACAACAAAGAGAAAAGGTTAGGAATATTCCAACTGTAAAATAAGAATATAATCTAAGCGGTTTGCATAACTAGTAGGATAATTGCAATATCTCATCATAGAATATCAATAAGGTTATCTGAAGAACAACTGAGTAGAAATGGTTTAATAAAAACATATATAAGTATCCTAGTCTGAAGAAATGGAGGCATAATTTACAATATCACACCTCTAAATATCAATAAGGATATCTGAAGAACAACTAAGTCAAAATGGTTTAGTAAAAACATAAGTATTCTGGTTTGAATAAATGGAGACATAAGTTACAATATATCATCACAGAAGACCAAAATGGGGACATGAGTTCTATGTAAAAACATTGATGAAAACAATTATGGCTTTTATAATCTAAGTGTTTTGAAATAATGTTGATGTTTCAATGCTAATTATCTAGACATTTTCATTGTTATTTTGTTTGCTGTAGAGAAATAATGAGACTTACCTTTAAATTTGATTTCCTCATCATATTCCTCAAGGTTTGGTCGTAACATATTATTTACCCAGTCTTTGTCTTTTTCTGAATGTGATACAAAGAAATCATATTGAAAACTGTTTGATGTTCTCTCTGAATTTTGAATCTCCTTTGGTTCATTTACTTCAGTTTCTTGGTTGTCCTCTTCTTGTAGTTTATTCTGAAATTGTTCCATAAGCGCCTTAGAGTCCAGATATTCTAATGCTTTTTTGATAAGCTGCTCATAACCCTTCGCATCACATTCTATCATATTTTGCACTAAAGTAATCATCATTTCAGTGTTTTTTTCTTGCATCATCTGCATGGCAGTTGTTATCCACTCATCGAGAACTCTTCTGCTTGCTTCTTTTAACATAAACTGGAATTCTGTCAGTAAGTTCGTATCTTTTTCTCTCTCATAAAAAGCAATGAAACACCTGGAAAGTGTTTTAAATACATCTGGAAAATTCTTAGACCATTTGTTCAATTCCAGTGCAGTTTTCAAAGACTGAATACCTTTCCTGTATTCTCCAATATGAGGGTAACAATTTCCGAGCAGACTGTAAAACTTAGAATCTTTGTTTATGTCCCGTTTGTTTAATGCCTCATGAATAATTTCTAGAGCTTCATATATGAAATCTATTTTCTGACATAGAAATAGATTCCTGTCAGGAATTGATAATTTGTAGCAGATTTGTGCCATTCTTAACATACATATATCTGTACATTTGGATTGCATACAGACTTTTCCATCGCGGTAAGCATGCTGCAAATTCTGAATGATTTTATCTTGATCAGACAGCTGTTCACTATGATAATAATATGCATCTCTTCGGCTTGAATAGGCAAACCAGTTAATATCTGGATCTGGAATATGACTGATAGAATCAGTGTAATTTTCTATTGCTTTTAAATTATTTCCCTCATTACTCCAGTATCGACCATATCTTTGCAAAATTATATGGTCCTTTGGACACATGCTTTTTGCCTTTTCCCGCATGGACTGGAAATCTTGATTCTTAATTCTCTCTGGTAATTCATCATGTTCCATGTGACATTTTCGAGATGTATACACTTGAACAAAATAGATATATGACTTGGCAACATATATTTTCAGGGGTTCCTCTAAATTTTCAATTGGGGAAAGATTTTCAATCACATCCAAATGGGCTTCAAGTATTTTTACATAATTTTCAAAACGATTCTTTGTGTCATCCCCTCTTCTATTTCGCCATGTATCCAACCTACTTCTGGCAATGGCAAGATTGTGTTTCCAGACCAAAATTTCTTCGGCAGAACATTTCAGCTGTTCAAGCATTTTAATTCCTTTCTCAAATTTTTCAACAGCCATTAGTTTCGCATCAATTTTTTTCTCATGAGATGTCTCAGGAATTGTTTTGACCACTTTATAGGCTTCCACAATCAATTCATTGGCTTTGCTTATCTGTTCTGGGTGTTTGCTCTTTGCATTAAGCTGTCTCCAAGAGTCTTTCAGAAGAACTTCAGGTGATTTGTTATGATCATCAGCTAAATCATATGTTAGAGCGTTTGCCTGACCCAAAATACTTTTGGCCTGCGATAATGGGTCACCTTTGTATAATTCAAGTTGTTGTTTATAATAATCAGAATCTTTCTTGCGGCCCATTTTTTTATAGACATAAACTAGGTCAGCAAGGGCATTCAAATCCTTTGGATCTTCTTGAATTAAATCCTCCAATATAGAACGAGCAGTTGATCTGCCTGCGTCCATGTGGAAGAAGAACACTGCTTGTAAATTACGAATTGCTGGCCTGATGTAATTTGGTTCTATCTCGAGATAAAATGTCAGCTGTTTGTTTTCAATGAACAAATAGTGGTTGCTCAGCTTCTTTTCAATATTCAAACCAATATCAAACAAGCCTGGTTTAAATGTCTCCGTAGATTCCGCCATACTGAAAATAGAAGGATTACAATAGAAGGATTTTAATATATATATATATATATATATATATATATATATATATATATATATATATATATATATTAGTGATTAAATGAAAGAAAAATATTGCATGTTACTGTTTCTCCCTTTTGAAAAGACTTTAGATTAAATAATGTCTCTTGAAAGATTGTTAAAAATGAATATGCTATAATAAAAAAAAAATGCCCAAAACTTAATTAAAAAAAAAAAATTCTCCCATCAAAATCTTTGTGTAGTTATTAAAAGGAAAGACCAAATGATTTTTTGCTAGAAAATTTATTTTTTTAAAATCTTTAAAATTCTGGTTAAGAAACTTGTTTCAATGTGGAACCATGAATTTGTATGGGAAATTTTACATTTTTGTGTTTAAAAATACATTGATTTGAAAATTCTTGCAAAAATCAGATAATTGTTGGATTTTAATTAATATATACAACTTCTGTGTAGCAAGGTATATTGTATTATTCTAGAGGCTATTGTGGTGGAATAATTATGGATGTGAACATGGTTATTTGAAAGCTAATTTATTGTGTTTTTTTTTTTAATTTTTTACTCATTATTTATTAATGATTGTTTAATTGTTTGTTGTTTCATTTATTCTGAAGAAGATCTTTCAAAGGACGAAATGTGTCAGTTTTTTATCTCGCTTTGATATATAGATCTTATATACATCCTATAAGAGAGCATTTCACACACACACACTCACACTCATGGCAGTTTATACATGTGCAAATACATATATGTACAGGCGCACACACAGTGAAAAAATCAATACTACATCAATAAAAAGTGCATAGATTATATTTTTTAACTTAATATAAAAATAACTTGAAATTAAAACAAGGAAGTCAGTAGACAATTACTGACCTCCTGTACCCACACACACACACATATATATATTGGCATAAAAGATTCTACTCTGATCAAACAATACACTACAATGAAAATGTCTATAGTGTCTTGATTGCAAGGTCAGTAATTGGCAGCATATGATTAATGAACTGCTCCAATATGATTTGCCAAAGTTAGAATTTCGGAGAGGTGAATAATATTCAATGGGTAATGTTGCTAATGCAAGAATGAAATTATTCACAAAGTATGACTCTGTGAATTTTTGCATGGGAAATGACCTTGTAGAAGACCAGTACTTGCCTTTGTTCATTATTTGATTGTTTTTAAGCTGGTACCTTCAATCAGATGTCATAGAAGACTGAGTTGAAGATCAAATATAAATCAGGAAATGTAGGTTACAAATAATGTGCTAGTGACAAATTATCAAAGCCAGTAAGCCTTTGAGGGTAACTGAGATGCAAGTAAGACTATCAATATTTTAGGCATCTGGTTAAATTGAATCCCAAGGGACCATGTGAGAGGAGTGCAATTTTGGATAGAGACCACCAAGCTAGTCACAGATAATTTTATGACTACAAGTAGCTGAAGAAAAAATAAAGAAATGATCCGATGTTACGTATTGATAGGGGTGGAAGATGCGTGTGTTGCTAAAGGAACAAGATTTTCTTAGGATGGAAAATTTCAAGTGAGAATGAACAATTATGGACCAATTAGGAATAAAAAAAGGCAGATAAAAATTTCTGGCTCTATCATGTCTCATCAATCCATAAAATCTTTGCACAAACTGTCAAACTTTTAAATAATCCCAATGAAATGCTAGAATGGGTTACTGAACGTATTGCATATCTCATGCCAAAAACGAGTGAAACAGATGATCCAAAAAATTATAGACCAATAACATGTCTCTCCACTATGTATAAATTGATCACGTCTGTCCTGACGAACTATATTTATTCTTTTCTCGAAGCAAACAACATTATTTTATTGGAACTGGGCTGCAGGAGAGGTCTATATGATTGCAAAGATCAATTACTGATAAACAAAATGATCCTGGAATATTGCAGGAAACAATGTCGAAATCTTAGCACAGTGTAGAGTGATTATCCTACAGCTTTTCATAGTGTGTCACACACTTGGGTCATTAAGACTTTGGAAATGTCCAAAGTTTTCCCTGTGGTAGTAAATTTCCTTAAGCATAGCATGGGAATGTAGAACACCACACTGTACCTAAATCACACCAGAAGCACTGCCATTTCCAACTGTTTGAATATCCAACGTGGAATCTTTCAAGGAGACTTCCTCTCACCCCTTCTATTTTGTCTGTCCTTAATCCCCCTTACACATGAACTAAACAACAGTAACTATGGTTACAAATTAGACAAAAAAAGAATTCAATCATCTACACTACATGGATGATCTCAAACACTTTGCCAAAGACGACAATGAATTGAAGGGCCTCTTCAATATTGTAAAATGTTTCAGTGACAACATAGACATGGACTTCAGACTAGATAAATGTGCAAAAGTAACATTCAAAAAAGGATAATTACAGAAACACACTCAATAGATTTAGACTTTGTCATAAAGATTAGGGAACTGAAACAAGATGAAGCCTATAAGTACATAGGAATTAGCAAAGGGGTTGGTATACAGCATAGCCAAATGAAAGAGAAGGTAAGAAATAAGTACTACAAGATGCACACATCTGGTACTGACTACCAAGCTGAATTCAAAAAACAGGATATCAGTTATAAACACCTTGGCTATCCCTGTAGTGCAATAGTTTTAACATCCTTAATTGGACCAGATCTGACATTAAGCAAATGGACGTCAAAGTGAGAAAGCTTCTCGCTACCGCATACATCATCCCAAAGCTGATGTTGATTGTCTGTATGTACCCAGATTCGAAGGAGGCAGAGGATTAGTTCAACTAGAACTGTCTTACAAAACTACAATAATTGGCCTTCAAAGATAACTAGAAACTGCAGAAGACTGGATGATGATATGCGTCAAAGAAGTAAGGGGATTTTATTCTGTAATAAAAGAAGCCAACAAGTTCAAGATGAAGATTCAAATAAATGTAGAAATACAAGTAAAACACAATACACCGACTGAAGCTGCAAAATACTTAAAAAAAGAAAGCAAATGCAACCAACCAGATACAGAAAGGGTGGCAAGATAAACCACTTCATGGCCAATACTCTGCCTGTACCAAATAAGCTAATGTAGACAAACCCCGTATCTATCAGTGGTTACATAGTGCAGGGTTAAAAGCTGAAACTGAAGGTTTTATCCTTGCTGCACAGGGCCAATTCTTGTTAACTAGAAATTATCAAGCACACATACAAAAATATTGTGCTAGCCTAAAAATGCAGATTCTGTGATAAATATCCAGAAACAATTGATTATCTTGTATCAGGTTGCACGGTATTGGCACTCACTGAATATAAAACCCGGCATGACAGAGTTGGCCAATATCTGTAACTTCTACAGGAACGGAACTGCAAGAAATTAGTATGAACACCACCCAGACCTGATTATGGTGATAGGACCTGTAACAATTTTATGGGACTAGACAATACACACAGACAGAACAATCAAAGCTAACGGCCTGGACATCGTTATTAGAGACCGTAATCAAAAATATGCCTCCTTATTGATATGGCAGTCCCTGCAGACTTCAATTATCTTTGAAAATCTCCAAAACGCCATCAAAATACAAGTGTTGCGGAAGTGAATGTTAAATAGGTTTAAAAATTAATCAGAAGGATGTTTAGTCATATGATGTTGGCTCTTGAGCAAGAAGAGACAGTCATAAAAATGGAACAGAGCAGGAAATGGAAGAGAGTGAGAGTGAAAAGACAGACGAGAGTAAAGAGGAAAATGAAGAAAGACCAAGATCACCATTAAGAAAAAGAAAAGAGGAAGGTGAGCACAGTACAAGAGTAATCAGAAATAGTAACAGAAAAAAACAAGGGTGTCTTTGGCCTCTTCGATTCAGGGTGTAGTATCATATGAACGGTGCTACGACTGCTACTACCCAGAGAGAAATACACAACATAACAGTATTAAACACACCTCCTTAAAAAGAACATTCTAAAACAATTTAATTTGCCAAATTAACAATATGGATCTTTAAAATTCAGCATAGTTCAGCTAAATATCCTGAGTAAGTTTGCCTTGATAATTTGTATGATTTCTATATAAATATTTGTTGTTGTTATTCGCTATACTGCCTTTATTAGCCTTGTGCCATACGACTAAAATTTAAATGATTGTGGAGAAGTGAAATTTTGTACACGCAGCCAACCTTATATGACTAAACAACCTTCTGAATAATTTTTTAAACCTATTTAATCTTCACCTCCGCAATAATTGGTAAAATCGATGTTTCAAAACAAATGGATGACCACGACGACTTCAAGAAAATCGACACGGCAATATATATAAAAATATTGGCACCGCAACAGTTAATAATGCTGGCGTTTCTAAGAAACTGGCACGACAACAACTAACGATTATTTTATTCAAGGTGGAAAATACATTACTTGACACCTTGAATTAAATATTGGCGCCATCCAGAAGCCAACTAAACTGCCATTTCATTTAAGTGCCAAAACGCGTCAGAGAGAGACCACCATGTCGACCAACAATTTTAAAGAACAACGTAACTATTCACACATTCGACGATAGCAAAGCAAACTAATATTTTAACGGGATCCACAGTAACACTAAATTTGCCTGCATACAACAACAATGTCCTAATTTGGTTTGCGCAATTGAACGCAATTTTCAGTGCAAAATGCATCACTTTGCAGTCGTCACGATTCGCTTATGTAGTGGAAAAGTGTGGCAGGGGGGGGGCAATATCACCCCGAAATAATAATAATGAAAAAAAAAGTGATGCAGTGAAACAGAAAACCCCAAGTGAAGAGAGGCGTTTTTGAATAACCAAGATGTTGATATGCCGTAAAAACTTTGAAATATTAATGTTACTGTCTTTATTTAGAAAACGAAATACAATCTTTTTTTAAGCGTACAAAACATATCAGATTATTAATAGAAGATAGAATTAATAATGTCTTGATCTAAAGGTTAAATTTATCGATAACAAGACAGCATGAATTTAGGTAAAGTTTACCAAAATTGCTCAGAGCCATTAATAGATAAACTTAGAACAATGGCAATAGAGTCAGGGCACTGAAAGATGAAGCGAGTGTGAAGTTTTAATTTAGAAGGGTGTCGGGAAATGGGTCGATCCCGTTCCTAATAAAAGTATGTCAGTCTGTCCGCTCGAGAAAAAACAAATACGTCACCAGTTCTCTATATAAAGAGCAGAGTTGGGTTGAGAGCAGAGCAGAGTTGGGTTATAGACAGAAGGGAAATCTCATCAGAGATTGGAACAAAGCGCCCGCTAGCATGTGCTGTTGATCTAAGTATCGTTGTTCCTGCTACTACTAATATTACTATTACTCTTACGACTACTGAGGGCGGGAACATCGACGGTTGTAGTAGTTGCGCTAAGAACAGACCAAAAACGGTTAAAACGAAACCACCTCTCTCCTTTAACGCAATTATACGAAGTATTTTCTTTTGTTTTGTTGATCATCGTTCATATACAAAAGACATTCAACTTTTTGCCACGAGAATTGTATTATTATATGTATTGTTGATAACTTTTGCCCCTCTAAAATCGGATCGACTTGGCCATATTTATTTGCTGTTAACCCGACTCTCACTCAACAAGCTTGCAGGTAGACCAACAGAGAGATTTCGGAATTCTACGACCCGATAACTACACACCAGGATCAAAAATCACAACGTGACTGGTGAGTGGGATCGAATCGACATTTGAAACCGGAGGTCTAACCTGTAATTCTTGACCATACAGGACCAACGGCCGGTCTTGTGGATGACGTCGGTCCAGTGGGGTTAGAATACGGTGACCAGAGATCGCGTTACAACTGACACCGTGCGAGACGATCGACGTTAAAAAAGCTACCACCTGAAGTTGCAACAGAGGTTTCCGACCTTCTAACTGAAATACCTACTGATAAACTATATGATGTATTAAAAGAGACGATATGTGCCGGACAGGCTACACAAAGGAAAGAAAACTTAGAGATCTCTTCAACAACCTCACTTTAGGTTCGAGCAAGCCGTCCCAATTCCTGCGGAAAATGCGAATATTATTGGGTAACAACAGCATGTCTGATATCGTTCTACAACAGCTTTGGTTGGACAAGCTCAACACGAGTATGGTGCAGATCCTAGCTTCACTACTTGACGATATAAATTTTCAGAAGATATTTGAAATAGCTGACAGAATAGCAGATAATGAACCAGCTACTTCTGTCTATGCTGCAACTCAAAAGGATCTTGTGACATCTTTTTCTAGCACAGACGAAATTCAGAATCTTACTGATAAACTCAAGTTACTGTCAACACAAAGGCAGGAAATCCAACAAGCGATGCAACAGCGAGGAAGAAATTTTACTGACCGACTTGTTACAACAAGTCCATGACCACGACACAGATGAAACTATAACGATCCAAATTGTTGGTACCATAAAGAGATTTTCCTCTCGGACGTATAAATGCATAGAGCCATGCAGATACCAAAAAAAGAATTTCCAGTCTGGAGGAATAGCTAAGCTATCTGAAAATGGTCGTCCCGGCAGTAATTAAAGACGGCGTTCGCTGCCTGGGACAAGCACATAAATCACCTATTCTACTTTAAGGATACTAATACAGGACTCCTATTCCTGTTGGATACGGGCGCGCAAATAAGCGCCATAAAAAACAAAAAAAAAAAAAAAAAAAAACAAGATGGCTGCAAAACCTACTTTGTATAATCTGCAGGCAGCCAACAGCTCGCATATCGCTGCTTACGGCGAGGAGACACATTAAATTTGGGCTTACGAAGAAGTTTTACCTGGAAGTTCACGTTCGCACAGGTCAAGATACCTATACTAGGCGCAAACCTCCTGGTTAATTTTGGCCTGAGAGTCAATATGTTGACGCGTATGCTGGAAGACACTAATCTCGAAGTTTTAATTCGAGGAATAAAGTCATCATTAACCACTACCGGTATTTCTACTACAATATCAGAAGCAAACAGGGTTCGACATTTACTTCGAAGATACCCCGTGAGTTACTGATGCCTTTCAATTATAAGGAACCTGTTTACACAAGCAAAGACATAGCATACACTAAACGGACCACATGTTTATGCAAATCTACGGCGGTTGCATCCCCAAAAAGTATAAGATCACCAAAGCGGAATTCTAATATATGCTTGAATTGGGTGTAGTTCGTCCGTCGTCTAGCCCATATACTACTCCCCTTCACATCGTTCCGAAGGCTGACTCAGGAACATGGCGACCCTACGGAGATTATCGTCTACTTAACTCGCAAACTATTCCTGACAAGTATCCCTTCCGCACATTAAAGATTTCGCTATTTACAAGGAGCGATGATTTTAACAAGCTCGATCTTCGTAAAGCTTTCTATCAGATTCCAGGCAATGAAGCAGACATTCACAAAACCGTCGTAACGATCTCATTCGGACTCTTTGAATTCATCCGTATGACTTTTGGACTACAAAATGCAGCACAATCGTTCCAGCGGTTAATCGATGAGGTGTTACGCGGTTTAAGCTTTACGTTCGTTTACGTCGACGAAGTCTTAACAGCTAGCAAATACATAAAGGAACACATTGATCATGTTGAAGAAGTTTTCAATGGATTAAATCATAGACTGAAAATTAATATTCGCTAAGTGCGAGTTTGTGGTTCACAAGCTAACTTTCCTGGGTCATGTGATTGATGGTACAGTAATCACACCTGTTACTGATAAGGTCGAAGCCATAAAAAAAAAATTTCCACAGCCCAGTACACTTTGCCAGTTACGAAGTTTATTGGCATGATCAACTCTTATCGGCAGTTCGTTCCACACTGCTCGAAAATACTTCTACCTCTTACAGATCTCTTGCGTAACCAGAGAAAGAAAAATGCTAAGATTACATTAAACGGCGAAGAACTCACAGCGTTAAATGATACTAAGCCCTTATTAACTATACCAAGCTTTTTTATATTATGCAACATGAAGACGCCAAACTTACCCTAATCACCGATGCATCATCTGATACCGTGGGGGACAGTTTTACATCAGGAATATCAAAATATCAAAAAGCCACTGTCATTTTTCATCCTTAAGCTGAACTCGGCGCAACGCAAATACAGCGCCTTTTCGCGTGAACCTTTGGCTATATATGTCTGTGAAACATTTTAGGCATTTGTTGGAGGGAAGAAATTTCATAATTTCTAAGTCCCTCATATACGCCTTACATTCTAAGAGTGACAAATACAATCCTAGTGACGTACGTCGCTTGGACTATATTGTACAGTTCACATATGACATTTGACACATTCAAGAGAAAGACAATGCAATTGCTGACACACTATCCAGGGCGTCCTTGAATATAATTAACTCTCATCAGTTGGACCTGGATTAGCCAATGAGCAGCAAAAGGACGGAGCCCTAAAAGAAGTAAAAAACATGACGTCATTGCTCCTTGAGCAACGCATGATTCCTTTCAGTACCCAGACTCTACCTCGTGATGTAAGCACGAAAAATATAAGACCTTACATAAAAAAAAAAAAATACTGGACCCAGACATGTATTAAATGCCAGACGTCGGAAACACAGTAGCACACGAAATCACCTCCTGGTCATTTTCCGGAAGCAGATGGTCGTTTTAAACATATCCACGTTGATCTAGTTGGGCCGTTAGATAAGTATACGGTTACGAATACTTGATGACGATTGTAGACCGATTTAATCTCTGGCCGGTGGTTGTGCCACTAAAGACGACAAACGCCGAAGCAGTGGCACGTGCGATATTACAGCAATGGATCTCAGTCTATGGCTGCCCCTCCGTCATTACAACAGACAGGGGACCACAATTTCAGTCAGCTTTGTTTTCAGAATTTGCCAGTTTATTGGGCGCGAAATACATTACAACTGCTGCATACCATCCTTGTGCTAATGGGATTGGTTGAACGTTTTCAGTGCTACTGAAAACCGTTCTTGGTTAGATAGTAATGTTGGCCCTTAGAAACGCAGAAATACATCTACTGACTAGTTGGTTTTCGGCAGTCCACTAGTTCTTCCTGGTCAGATAGTAGAGAACGATATATCTACTACGGCATCTACACACTTTATCCAAGACCTAAATAACGTATGTCTATTCTTTGATATACACCATCACGAACGGTGAAGAAACCAATTTTTATTCCGAAGCTGTGAATATGGGCGCAGAATTGTGCAAGGAAGAGTTCCGGTCGTTGCATTCGTGAGGTCAAAACCCCGGAGGGGCATACTCTTCGGGCCACTGACGACATGTGCGAGGCTTTTCGGCGGCATTTCGAGAGCCGGTTTACCAAGGAGCCTGGTCTCCGCGACGAGGAGTTTCGTAGCTATTTGGCTAACTTTCCTCGGCTTTCACCGACTGAAGCGGCTATCTGCGAGGGTGAGATCACGGAGGGCGAATTCGACGCGGCATTGAAGGTCGGCAGAGGCAAGTCGCCCGGTCTGGATGGTTTGCCTATGAATTGCACTTAAGGATGTCGCACATCTTTGTCCCGATTTTGACTGTCGTGCTCAACAACAGGTTCCGCCAGGGGTCCGTTCCCGACCGGATCTCCTGGGGGTGTGATCACGCTGTTGAAAAAACAAGGGTGTTGGGCGGGATTTAGATGAATATAGGCCCATAACTCTGCTAAACACAGTTAAAGATATTGGCCAAGATCCTGACGGAGCGTTTGCTGTCAGTTGCCGAGAGTCTGTTGGAACATGAGCAAACTTGCGCTGTGAAGGGCCGAATAATTCAGAGCAACCTGCATCTGATCCGCACGATCATAAAGGGTGTAAAAGACGACGATGAAGCCGTGCTGATCAATTTAGATCAGTCCAAGGCATTTGATAGGGTTGACCATCTCTACCTGGCAGGCCGCCAGATTCGAACCCGATTTCTGCCGCTGGATTAGCCTCCTGTATCACTCCCCCAGTGCTGTGGAACAGCTGAACGGGAAGCTGTCAGGCGCTTTTGCGCAGTCTCGGTCAATTCGCCAGGGTTGTCCACTGTTGCCCCTACTTTACGCTTTGGCGTTGGAGCCTCTCTTTCGCTGGCTGAGGGACAGGGCGAACAGTCCGGCACTACGTAGAAGGGTCTGAGGGTTTCCGCGTATGCCGATGACAACCGCGAAAATTCTTCCGGCTTGCGGTTAGTTGCCTGGAGGGGGTCGATCTTCCGGGTCGCTTTGGTTGGACGAACAGTCCTGTCCGCATTCTTAGAGTGTAGTTTGGGCCCGACCTCTAGCTGGAGAAAAAATGGTCAGAAGCGCAGCCGGTCAGATTTGGCGTCGAAGGAAGTTGTCCGTGAAGCGGCGATTACAGCTTAATGATGCGCCAACAAACTATACGCGACATATTGAAGCTAGAGAGAACTTTTCACCCTGGACACGACGTGAACTGATTCATCACGGCCCTAAACAAAGCATACACAATCCACGTCACGCCAGAACTCAGCACCTATCCCAGCCTGGAATGCGAATTCGTCAAGTCTGCTAAAGATTTACTGGACCAAAGTATCTTTCAGCAGATGGTTGACTCAAAAAAGGACATATCCACCTTCGAACAACTGAAGGAATACTTATTAGGGGCCCACGGAAGCCAGATGACTAACTTCGAACACCTCAGTCAAGCCTGGAACCTGGAACGGCGAGACGGCGAAAACTTAACAGACTTCGCGGGACGACTCGAAAACACCCTTAGAGAGGCAGCTGTTCACATAAAAAAACAAATACAAAAAAGACAAAAATACAGACTTAACAGTCGATGGACTTATTTCCATCATCGGCGCTATGCTAATGAGCGAAAAGGTGAAAATTTGGAACTCAAATCTCTACCCACATCTCGTCAAGACAATGGACAACCACTATTCAGCCATTGACATAGCCTCCGAAGCTCAAATATACCTTGATTGCGGTGTAAAATCCAACGACACAACTTCGCACGACACTGTGTATTTCACACAGAAACCACAGCGGTCAAACCAAAGAAACGCGCCACTCCGACCCAGCAGGCAACCAAACCCACAGCAGACGGGCCTCACCAACCCTCCCGAACATGGCCACCATCCAACACGCAGAAACCATCAGCACACACCACGAATCAGCGTGTGCAAGAACTACCTCAGAGGTCGCCCCTGTCACCATGGACGCAACTGATTATATCACCACCCACCCCGCACTCGGGCACAGGCCCATATCGCAGCAACGAATGACAATATACAAGCCATAAATGATGTGGAACAGGATTTTCGCTTCGGGCAGGACGAGATGTGATGCCTCGTTCGCCATGCCCCTACGTCAGCCATCACACCTTCAACTTTCAAGGACTCGCTCACCATTCACCGCTCGTCCAGTCCACCTTCAACTTCAGGGACATCACCTTCTCTGGCGTCGCACTGCTAGACTCTGGATGCTCCACCTGCATCGTGCCAATATCTCAGCTACCCAGAGAAGCCAAGAAACTCATGACCCGCTCCGACGTCGTAGTAAAAGGAATCAACGGCAGCACCACCGCCCTCGGCGAACTGACTTGCGACATCACCATCGGCAGTCGAGACTCACCCACATTCAAAAAGGTTAACGTGCTGGTAACTACTCAAACCACAACAATCCTGATCGGCCAAAATATCCTACGTCACAACACGCTCGATTCCTATCTAATCGACAACCAAAATGCGACTATAGAATTCAGACGCACACTTTCCTCAGGATATACAACACACAGCCGCAATCATATCACCGTCATCGTCAACCAACGATCCAGCATATGGCGCCCAAGCTGACATCATCCAAAACCAGCCTACTATCGAACTACAGCCCAACATCCAGACACTGGATCAAAAGCTAACCTGGCTAAAACATAACACGGGACTATCGCTACCAAACCACCCGAACCGAGACGAACTAGAGGCCACTGCAAACTTACTCATTCGCTACGCTGACATTATCGGCACCGAAAGCAGCAGCAAAGGCACATTCATCCGACCCATCCGCATACCAACCGACGGCCAGTCTCGCAGCCAGAAACAACACCCGATAGCCCAGGCTCTGGAAGCAGACGTAGATACCGAAATTAAGCGTATGGCTGATGAAGGTATCATTGAAAACTGCAGCGACCCCAAAGGCTTCAATAGCCCTGTATTTGCCGTACGCAAGAAAAACGGATCGATTCATGTCGTTGCTAACTTTAAAAGCACTCTCAACAAGGTCTTAGTCGATCTTGACCCTTACCCAATGCCAAGGATCGACCACTTGTTCAACAGAATCGGCAAAGGCAATAGATATTTTACTACCCTTGATCTACGCAGCGGCTACTGGCAAATTGAGATCGACAAGCGAGACCGATACAAAACAGCATTTACATGGAAGGCCAATGCTATCAATACACGCACCTGGCCTTCGGCCTTACATCTGCCGGACAAATCTTCTCCCGTTGGATAGCAGAAGCCCTAGCCACGGTCACATCCCGTCACAACATTTCTTCCTATATCGACGACAACCTGGTCCACGCTAGGACATTTAGGGAGTACATACTCTCCCTCGAACAATTTTTTACTGCCCTCCGAAAATTCGGACTCAAGCTGAATCCCGATAAATGTTCCTTCCTCGCGTCAGAGGCAAAATTCCTCGGAAGCATAGTAAACAGCGAAGGATTCAAGGCTGATCCAGAATACGTTCGTGCCATCAGGGAAATGAAACCTCCAACATCAAAAAAGGAATTACAAAGCCTTATCGGCCGTTTAGTGTGGATCAGACAATTCCTAGAGACACGTCTTCACGAACAAATCAGGTCAGATATGTTTTCAAAACTTATGGGTCCCATACACGAACTCAACAAGGTTAATAAACCGTTTGTCTGGACGCAAAATGTTGACAGAGCCTTCAAAAAAATCAAGGACCGTCTCTCTTCGCCACCCGTCATCTCGTTTCCAGATTTCTCCAAACTTTTCACACTCACCACCGACGCCAGTGACGTCGCATGTGGAGCAATCTTAATGCAAGAAGCCGACAACGGGAAGAAAGATATCATAGCGGTCGCTTCCCATACATTCAACTCCACGGAACAGAACTGGTCCACAACGGAAAGAGAGGCATATGCAATAAAGTGGGCAATATTGAAATTTGATTATTTCCTTCGCAACCACTCCTTCGTCATCTTCACCGACCACAGATCGCTGACATATCTGGACCAACGAGAGTTCAATAATGCCAAAATACGACGATGGCAAGAAGAAATTTCATGTTATAAATTCGTCTTGGAATATGTTGAAGGCGAATCAAATGTATGGGCTGACATGCTCAGCAGAGGCTGCGAACATAAGAAAACGAAAGCCCCGAACGACCCTACACCGGCAGGCAGGACATTCGAGGTAAGCGGTTCAGACCTCCGCGTATACATCCCATCTTGGTGCCTCGGCGAATTTAAC